TCCCTACTTATCTCACATTTCTGACAGAAAGGATAGAAAAAACCTCCTCAGAATAAAAACGAATGTCAATACAACAACCAGAGCTCTGTCAGGATAATGGAAGCCATAATCATTTTCATGCAATCCTTCCTCAGAGGAAGATGAGATCCTCGACTAGCTGGGTTCTCATTTGACTTTACAAGACCAACCCCAGCAAATTAAAAAGGGGTGTGCTGCCAGGGCTGCTGAAGGAAACCCAGGAGACCTCCTCATCCACTGAGTGCCTGAAATTCCACTACTACGGTTGCATTCCAGCTCCAGATGCCGTCTTTGATGAGGCCATTTCTGGACTCAGCCTGGGTTCACACCTGAGAGCACTATGTAAAATGTAAGTCAGCGCATTTTGTAACTGTTTCTCAAAGTGTGGTCTTTAGAACACCTGCATTCAAATCAACTTTATCAAAATAAATGTTCAAATGACTGTGCCCCACTCCAGACTGGGTGAATCAATATTTCAGGACATGGGTCCCAGGAACCTTCATTTTAAACACACACCCCTAATTCTTAAGTACAATAAAGCTTGAAAACCACTGTTCTGCACTATATGTTTCCCTACCAGTGTGCCAGAATATGCTGCAAATAAATCACTGGTTCTAACAACCACCACCACACAACCACACACGCACTCAAATGTTCATTAGTGGTGAACATAGTTCAAGTGCAGAAACACATGACTGAAAAAAACTTTCATACAGAAACAAGATGTTATAAAGATAAAGAGAGGTAAGGAATTTAAGATAATTCCAAAAAAGGTAATAAGGCTTAGAAAAGCAAAACGGCATAACTGAAAATATGCTTTAGTGGTTTTCAGTATGACTTCTGAGAATGCATTTCCCCATCATCATGGGAAAACTGCTACTAAATGATGTGAGTTTTCAATTTTGTAATTATACAAGAAAGCACACTGCTATATACAGGCAGGTTGTTTATTTAATACATTCTTTTTAGAGTAGTTTTAGGGTTACAAAAAATTGAGAAAATAGTACAGAGTTCCTATACACCCCTTCACCTCTAACCCCCTCCACAGTTTCCATTGTTAACACATTGCATTACGTGGTACATTTGTTATAATTGATGAGCCAATATTGATACGTTATTACTACAGTCCATAGTTTACATCAATATCTATTCTGTTTTACATTCTGAGTCCTGACAAATGAATGGCAGGTATCCACCTCTGTAGTAACCTTCAGGATAGTTTCACTGTCCTAAAAATTCTCTGTAATCCACCTATGCATCCCTCAAGTCCTCCCTGTAAGCCCTGGCAATCACTGATCCTTTTAGTGTCCCCGTTTTGCCTTTATCAGAATGCATTATCATTAGAATAATACAGCATAAAGCTTGTTCAGATGGGCTTCTTTAGTTTAGCAATATGCATCTAAGCTTCCTCCATGTCTTTTGTTATTTCATAGCTCATTTCTTTTTATTATCCACTCAAGCATCACTTCCTATAACTTTGCTATAATTGCTTACTAGCATCAGGTTTTGTTGTTGACTCTTTGAAATTTTCTACACAGACAATTATGCTATCTGTGAACACAGTTTTATCTCTTCCTTCCAAATCTGTGTACCTGTAATTTCCTTTACTTGCCTTACTGCATAGGACTTCCAGAGGATGTTGAAAAGGAGTAATAAAAGAGGACCTCCTTGTCTTGCTCCCTATCTTACTGGGAAAGCATCTAGTTTCTTACCATTAAGCATAATGTTAGCTGTAGGTTTTTTGTAGGTGTTCTTTACTATGTTAAGGAAGTACCCTGCAGTCCTAGTTTTGGTTTTTTGGTTTGGTTTTTTTTAAGATTTTTATTGGGGAATTAGGGAAGGGGAACAGTGTTGGGGAACTGGGGAAGGGGAACAGTTAAGTTGTCCTTCAATCTTAGTTGTGGAGGATGCAGCTAGCTCAGCTCCAAGTCCAGTTGCCATCCAGCCTCCTGTCAGCAGCTCGGGGCTGCTCAGCTCAAGATGCTCTGCTCAATCTTAGTTGTGAGTGGGCGAAGTCCGCCATCCCATGCAGGAGTCAAACCAGAAACCTTGTTGTTAGCACGTGCTCTCACTAGGTGAAGCATCCTGCCACCTGTTGGCAGCTCAGGGGCAGCTCAGCTCGGGCACAGCTCACTGGCCCATGTGGGAATTGAACCAGCAACCCTGTTGCTCAGAGCTCGCACTCTTAACCAACTGATCCACTCGGCCAGCCTATAGTCCTAGTTTTTTTTTTTTTTTATCATGAATGGGTATTAAGATTTTGTGAATGGATGGAACTAGAGAACATTATGCTAAGTGAAATAAGTCAGTCAGAGAAAGACAAATATCATATGATCTCACTTATAGGATTCTAAGGAACTGAATGGATGGGAGAAGTGGATGGAGATAGTCTCAGAGACACAGAGGAAGAACTGAGGGTTGTTAGTTGGGAGGGGGTGGGGATGAAGGAGAGGGGAAGGGATGAGACAATACAAATTGGTAATTGCAATATGGCCTCAGGGATAAAAAAAGATAGTCCGAGGAATACAATCAATAACGTTGTAAGCATTTCTTAGGGGGCCAGATGGACCAATGCCCTTTTGGGGAGTCCACTTCATAGTTGATGTAGAGGCCTGACCACCGCATTGTATTTCTGAAACTGATGTTGAATAATACTGTATGTCAACTATAATTATATATACATATAACCTCGGGACACGGAGTAGAGTGCGGGAACGGATTCAATGGAATTGTAATAGATAAGCATGATATCGGGGGTGGGAGGGCAGTGGATGGGGGGAGGGGGGTTGTGAGGGTGAAAAGGGTAACTATTGCATTGTTCTGTACACCTGAAACTAACAATAAAAAATAAAAAAAATAAATAAAAATAAAAATCAGTACACAAAAATGAAAATAAACTTAAAAATAAAAAAGAAAAAAAAAGATTTTGTGAAATGCTTTACCACATCTATTAATGGTTATATGATATTTCTTTTTTAGCCTGTTGATGTGTTACATTAATTATCAAATGTTGAACCAGCCTTGCATACCTGGAATAAATCCCACTTGGTCATGGTGTATTGGATTCAATTTACTAATATTTTGTTGATGATTTCTACTACATCTATGTTCATGAGAGACATTGGTCCGTAGCTTCTTGAAATGTCTTTGCCTGGTTTTGTTAATAGGGTAATAATGGCCTCACAGAATGAATTAGGAAGTATTCCCTCTGCTTTTTCTTTCTAGAAGAGATTGTAGCAAATTGCTATCATTTCATCCATAAATGTTTGGTAGAATTTACCAGTGAGCCCATCTGGGCCTGATAATTTGTGATTTGGAAGATTAAGTATTGATTCAATTTGTTCAATAGATATATGTCTGTCTATTCAGATTTATCCTTCTGTGAATTTTGGCAGATTGTGTCTTTCAAGGAATTGGTCCATTTAACCTTGGTTATCAAACTTGTGGGCATAGAGTGGTCCACATATTCCTTTACAATCCTTCTGATGTCCATGGGATTAGTAGTTAAGGCACCTTTTGTTTCTAATCTTAGTAATTTGTGTCTTCTCTTTCTCAGTTAACCTGGCTAGAGGTTTATCAATTTTATTGACTTTTTTGAAGAACCAGATTTGGTTTTACTGATTTTCTTGATTGGTTGTTCTCAGTTGCACTGACTTTGACTTCAATCATTATTTCTTTTGTTTTGCTTACTTTGGATTTAATTTGCTCTTCTTTCTCTAGTTTCCTAAGATGGAAGCTTAGACTGTGTAATCTAAGATCACTAGACTGTGTAATCTTAGATTACTTGTGTAACTTAATTATGTAACTTAATCATGTAACAGACTATACTACCTTTACACTGTCAAAAAAGGCCCCATTTTAGCTCTACTCTGGCCCTGCTCCAACCTCAACCCACCTTTTCATATAGTCAAAAGTCTCTAAGGGCCCAGACAACTCTCTGGGTACATCAGACCCCTGAATTTACAGTCTAACTTACACCTTTGAAGATCATTTCATCTGTCTGTGGCTTCTTTCTTGAGACCAGTCATGGAGGGCAGCTGCTTGTATGGATAAAATTTAGGCTGAAGGCTAGACTATTCACATATGTACACTCAAGGCACCCCATAGCTTGGGATGAACCAATGGGTGAGAAGAGAAAGGAGGCAACGGGAATAGGGCCTAGACCTCCCATGCATAGAATACTTTTTTATTATTCTGTTATTTTTATTTATAATTTTTAAGTGGTTGACATTAGCTTTGTGGTCCTCCTTTTAAACTGTTCCTCCAGGTTCTACATACATGGGGGGGGGGTGCGACTACTACTGCTACTAAATTAGAAATATTCCTATTTCCTATTCACAATTATATTGTTCCATTATGCATATGAAACACAGTTTATATAACATACCACTTATACTTACATAAAGCCTGTGAACTTAAGGGATGCTTCAGATATGTATTATATTTAATGCTACTGCCCTGATGATTAAATTTATCTCTACTTTCAGAAAGCTTCATATCCATATGGTTGCCAGGATTAGGGTTGCAGAAAGGGTATGATTATTAATACAAGGGAACTTCTTGTGGTAAAATTCTGATTCTTTTGTAAACCTGATGAAATACAGATTACAGATTCCTTTTTGATTGTGTAACCTAACTGTGCTGATGGTTATTCAAATCTACAAATGATAAGATTTCATGAAACTACACCCACAAAAAGAATGCATGTAAAAATTGCTGAAATCTGAATATGATCTGTGTCTGACGTAGTAGAAAGATACCATCAATTTCTTGTACTTCAGAATATATTAAAGTTTGATATAATCATTAGAGGAAGCCTGGTCAAAGGCACATGAGAATTCTATGTACTACCATTGCAACTTCTTGTATTGTACTTCCTTGTTTTGCTATTTTTGTTGTGGTTTTAAAGCTTTACATTACACAATATGCATCTATAAGTTATAATTTGTTATATTTCTTAAAGAAAATTATGGCATCAAAACCAAAACACAACTTTTAATGTTACATTACTTCTAAAGGAAATTTTTGAACTATATGTCTCAAATTGACAGATTTCTCCTCAGTATAAATTCTGACATAACCTATTTTGTATTTTTGCTGAAAACTTTTACAAAATCAAAAATATCTGTAAGGTTTTATACCAGTATTAGTTACGTGACATTCAATGGAATGTTACTTCTTAACAAAACTGTCCGATATTTGTTGCAGATTATGGGTTTGCCCCATATCATTACTTTGGAGTAAAATAAGGCCAGTATATGAATGGTTGTTGCACATTCAGGGTATCAAGAGAGCTTTCTACACAGTGTGAATTCTCTGAAGTGTAGTAGGTGCTGAATTGTGGCTCTACATTTCTAATATTCACTTCAATCACAAGATTTTTCTCCTGTGTGCGTTCTCTGATGTACAATGAGGTTTGACTTCTGAGAGAAGGTTTTTCTACATGTGTTACATTCATAGGGCTTCTCCCCTGTGTGTGATCTCTGATGTTTAGCAAGGTCTGATTTACGGTAAAAAATTTTCCCACATTCATTACATTGACAAGATTTCTCTCCTGTGTGAGCCCTGTGATGCACTGTGAGGGAGGATTTGTGACTGAAGGATTTCCCACATTCAGTACATTCATAGGGTTTCTCCCCTGTATGTTTTCTCTGATGTAAAATAAGTCCTGACTTCACACAAAAAGATTTTCCACATTCATTACATTTAAAGGGCTTTTCTTCTGTATGAGTTCTCTGGTGCACAATTAAAGCTGACTTATGACAGAAAGCCTTTCTACATTCACTACATTCATATGGTTTTTCCCCTATGTGAATTCTCTGGTGCTGAGTGAGCTGTGACTTCTGGCAGAAGGTTTTCCCACATTCACTGCATTCATAGGGTTTCTCCCCTGTATGTGTTCTATTATGTTTAGTTAGGTATGATTTATTGTAGAAGATTTTTCCACATTCCTGACATTCATAGGGTTTCTCCCCTGTATGTATTCTATAATGTTGAGAGAGGGTAGACTTATGGCTGAAGAATTTTCCACATTCAGGACATGCAAAGGGTTTCTCCCCTGTGTGAGTTCTCTGATGTACTGTGAGGTCAGACTTCAAGCAGAACGTTTTCCCACATTTGTAACATTCATAGGGTTTCAACCCTGTATGAATTATCCGATGCCTGGTGAGTACAGACTTGTGGTAGAAAGTTTTGCCACATGTATTACATTCATAGGGTTTATCCCCTATATGAGTTCTCTGATGTTGTGTAAGGTGTGACTTCTGACAGAAAGATTTCCCACACTCAGGACATTCAAAGGGTTTCTCGCCTGTATGAATTCTCTGATGTACTGTAAGGTGTGAATTTATGCAGAAGGACTTCCCACATTCATAACATTCATAGGGTTTCAGTCCTGTGTGTGTTCTCTGATGTTTAGTAAGGTCTGACTTCTGGTAAAAAGTTTTCCCACATGCATTACATTGATAGGGTTTCTCCCCTGTATGTGTTCTCTGGTGTAATGTGAGGGCTGACTTGTGGCTGAAGGCTTTCTCACATTCACTGCATTCATAGGGTTTCTCCCCAGTGTGTGATCGCTGATGTTTAGTGAGGTTTGACTTCTCCCAAAATGTTTTCCCACATTCATTACACTGAAAATGTTTCTCTCTTGTATGTATTCTCTGATGTCGAGCGAGGTGTGGTTTCTCCCAGAAAGCTTTCCCACATTCATTACATTCAAAGTGTTTCTCTCCTTTATGAGATTTCTGAAGTTGTGAGAGATATAACTTCCTCCTGATATTATTCCCACTTCCATTACATTCACAGTGTTTCATATGTGCCCCATGATGCTTCAAAAAGGTAGAATTCACACATAAGGATTTCCTACAAACACTAAATTCATAGAGATTTTCCTTTGAGGGAGTTATCTGATGGAATGAGAAGGATGAGTTCTCACAGGATATTCTCTCATATTCACTATATTCACATATATTCCCTTTTGTGATCTCTCTCTTGTGTGTATTAAATATTGCCTTTTCAAGGAATGTTTCTCGATCTATGTTATAAGCAAAATTTTGCTCTAACGTTTGCATCTTCTCATGTTGAATAGGGTCATTATGATTGAAAGTTTTCCCATTTTTTAAAAATTCATTTTTCTCTCTAATATGAGTTTTCTCATGTATAGTACTGAGTAGCAATTTTCCACAGACATTAAATTCATCCGTCTTTTTTCCTAAATAGTTTTTCTTACTGATAATCAATTCTGAAATATAGTTGAAACTCATTCCACAGGAATCACACTGACAGAGTATTTTTCTGGAAGGAAAAAAATTTGTCTCCAAGTTAAATGGTTTTCCTATTACATTACCTCGTTCTTTAGTCAGCATTTTGTTATTCATGTATACAACTTCCCACACATGTTGAGACTGTTTTTTTTGGCTCCTCTCTTTCATGTAATCAGTGTTCCAGACTTCTAGAAATAAGAAAAATTAATGTTACCATATATAAGTATTAACACATTTCTTTTGGAATGTGACCTATATACAAATGCCTTATGTTATAGATGACTTTGATGTCTTTTCCAGTCTCCAGGAATGAAATAATTGCAAGTATATTTTTTTTCTATTTCTTGGGTTTCAGGTGAAGAAAGAAAAACAAAAACAAAAAACCTAGCACAGTGGAAAAAGGGAGAGAAAACTGGCTATTAGAACACATACATATGGTTTCTAATGTCTGAAGAATAATAAATAGCAACTGCTTAAATCTGAAATCTCCCCATGTATCCTCCAAAAAACTTATAAAAATCAATACAAGGAGAGCAATAAATTACCTAGAGTAACCCATGACTTTTGCATAAGTAAGAGATACACAATACTACTAACTACAAATCACCATTAAGGAAATAAATATTCAAATATAGAAGCAACTGATATAGAGTCCACACCTATGGAAAAATTCAGTTCAAGACTGTGGGAACTACATATAAAGGAAGAGATAGAGAACTTAGAAATAATTAAATACAAATAAAATTACTCCCAGAAAGGAAAAGTTCTTCTGTGGGCAGGAAAATACTGAGATGATGTTTCTGTTCTGATAGATAAGCTCAGACTACTAGGAAATCCCAAAAAAAGGAGGTATGGGCTGATCAAAGTGATGAAAAGAAGTGTAAAACCAACACAAAACTATCTTAGAAAATAGAAATTAAGTTACAAGGAGTTTGTTATGGTCTAAACTGTGTCCCCTCCAAATTCAAATGTTGAAGCTCTAATCCCCAATGTGACGGTATTTGAAGATAGGGCCTTTAAGGAAGCCATTAAGACCAAAGGAGGTCCTAAGTGTGGAGCACTAATCCAATAGGAATAGTGTCCTTATTAGAAGAGGAAGAGACACCAGAGTTTGCCTGCTCTCCATGCAAGTACAGACAAATGATCATGTGCAGACACAGAGAGAAGGTGCTGTCTGCAGGCCGAAGAGAAAAGCCTCACCAGAAACCAACCTTACTGGCACCTTCATTTTGGACTGCCAGTCTCTAGATCTGTGTAAAGTGAACTATGAGAAAATCAATTTCTGTTGTTTAAGCCACCCAGTCTGTGGTATTTTGTTATGACAGCCCCAGCAGACTAATAGAGAACCGAAAAAGAAAACAGATGTGACTGAAATTTTAATAAATAACATTTAAAATGCATGAAAGCAGAAAAAAAACAAAAATAAAAGACTTAAGAGAGAAGAAATTGGATCAGAAAGTTCTGGATAAAAAAAGTAACCTGCAAAAAGTTTAAATAAAAATTTAAAAATAAAACTATATTATGTATGTATGTAACATGTTAGATTTAAAGACTCAAATATGTTGGATACAAAAAGAATGGGAAAACATATACAGTGGTAGAATTATTCAAAAGGCTGCAGTGCTATGTCAATATCAGATGAAATAGATTTCAAAGCCAAGAATATTGATAGTGAAAGATTTTTTCATATTAAGATAAATTTATGAAGAGGACTTAATCCTAGACTGCATATAACTGGAAGTTACCTTTCTTATTGATCTCACCTGGCAAAATCTTTGCCTTTTAAATGGGGTGTTTATATCATTTACATTTTCTGTGATTATAAATATGATTACATCTTTAATTAGTGTATGTGTAAGTCACATTACATGACTTTACATATAGTATAAGAATCTTACAATATTATACTTTCAATTCTCCTGGCCTTAAGGATGTAGTTGTCATATATTTTACTTAGATGTTACAAACCTCATAATACATTTTTAATTATGTTTGTAAAAGTAAATATCCTTTTTAGAGACTTAAATAAAAAGAAATGTCTTATATACACATCCATGTAGTCATCATTTCCTGTTCTTCATTCTTTGGGGTAAATGTAAATTTCCATCAGATATCAAAACATTTCCTGTAGTGAACATCTGCTGGTGATAAAATCCTTCATCTTTTATATATCTGAAAACTTCCTTATTTTTCCACTGTTTCTGACAGCTACTTTTGCTGAGTATAGATTTCTATGTTGATAGTTATTTTTGCTTTCCAAACTCTAAAGTTAATGCTCCACTACAGTCTCTCTTGCCTCATTTAAGGAGAAATCTGCTCTCATCCTTATGTTTTGCCATTGGCTGCTTTTAAGATTTCCTCTTTACAGTGGTTTAAAGCGTTTTTTTGGTGTCGTTTTCTTCATGCTTCTTATGCTTGGGTTTGTTGAGCATCTTGGATTGTTGGGTTCTCAACACATTTGGAAATTTTAATCATTAATTCTCTGGCTATTGTTTTCTGTTCCCGTCCTTTTTATTCAGGGATTCCAAAAACAAATGTTAGGCTACATGAAGTTATCCTAAAGCTCACAGGTGCTCTTTTCATTTTTTCTGAAATCCTATATCTCTGTTTCATTTTGTATGGCTTTCATTACTATGTGCTCCACTTCATTAATCTTTTCTTTTGCAATATCTAATAATTAATTCCTAGCCTAAATTATTTTTCATCTCAAATATTGTAGTTTTCATTTCTAGATATACAATTTTTTTAACGTGCATATTTTTATTATTATTATTTTCAGGTGTACAAAACAATGTAATAGTTATCCTTTTCACCCCTCACGAAGTGACAACCCCCTCCCCCATTCACTGCTCCCCCACCCCCGATATCATACATATCTATTACAATTCCATTGACTCCATTTCCACACTATACTCCACATCCCATGGCTATATATGTATTAAATTATACATATTAAATTATAGCTGTAATTTATATATAAATTATAATTAAGTTATAATTTAATAATATATTAAATTATATTATTCAATGGCAGCTTCAGATGTACAGTGCAGTGGTCAGGCCTCTACACCGTCCATGAAGTGGTCTCCCTAACAAGACATGAGACCATCTGGCCCCCTAAAAAATATTTACATTATTGATTATATTCCCCAAACTGTCTTTTCTATCCCTGAGGCAATATTGTAGTTACCAATTTATGTTGTCTCGTCCCTTCCCCTTCTCCCTCATCCCATCCCTGTCCCATCTAGCAATCATCAGTTTTTCCTCTGTGTCTCTGAAACTATTTCTGTTTACATTACTCATTTATTCTTTAGATTCCAAATATAAATGAGATCATATAGTATTTGTCTTTCTCTGACTGACTTATTTCACTTAGCATAATGTTCTCTAGGTCCATCCATATTGTTGCAAATGGTACGATTTCCTTCTTCTTTATAGCTGAGTAATACTCCATTGTGTAAAAGTACCAGTTTCTTAATCCAGTCATCTACTGATGGGCATAGAAATTCAATTTCAATCTTTTTTTATACTGAATATTCATTTGGGTTGTTGCATCTTCCACGCTTCCACTTAAGTTTTAAAATTCATGGAATCCCATTATACTAATTTTTAATGAATCCGTTGGCTAATTCTAACATCTATGTCAATTCTGAGTCCATTCTGATTTATTCATTAGTCTCCTCAACAACGCCCAGGTTTTCCCACTTGTCTGTATATCTGATAATTTTTCAGTAGCTGGAAGGAAGCATTTGCACATTTTACCTTATTAGATGCTGGGTAGTTTTGGATTCCTGTAAGTAATTTTGTGCTCTGTTCTACAATGCATTAAGTCATTTGGAAACTCTTAGGTCTTGCTTTTATGATTTGTTAGGCAAATTTGATGCAGTCGTCAGTCATAAAGTGCATTATTCCTCACAACTGAGGCAAGAGTTTTCTGAGTATACTACTCAATACTCTTTGAATGATGAGTTTTCCACTCTGGCTGGGGGGAACATTCCTTTTCCAAGCCCTGTGAGAGTGCTGTCCACTGTTCCCTCTAATTATTTTCAAAAATTCTTTAATTTCCTCACATACCCTGAGCTGATCAATACTCTGCTCAATACTAAAGGAGGACCCATATAGCTCTCTAGACTTTTCTCTCTGTGCAGCTATCTCCTATCTGGCTCAGGATCCTGTCCTGTGAACTGTAAGCAGCCTTAATCTCCCTGGACTGTCAAGTCCATATCCTCAATTAATTCAGTTCAGAGTGTAGGGCTGTACCAGGGTTCACCGCCTTGGTCGGGCCATCACAAGGCTCAAGTTCTGTGTTTTCTGGCTCTAAGAAATTTCTGTCCTTTATCAGCTGATGACTACAGCCTTGAAATTCATTGTTTCGTATATTCTTTTCTGATGGTTTTGGTTGTTTCAGACATGAGGGTAAGTCCAGTCCCTTATTATTCCATCTTGGCTTGGTGTGGAAGACTATGCTTTAATAGAAACTGAAGTGTAATTTTATATTTAAATCTAATAATAAAAAAGTAAGGCTTATGTTTTGTATGTCTTTGCTCTGTACCTTTTATTTTATAGTTATTTGTTCATATTTTTTAAATATTTAAAACAGTGATATGTTAAAGATTTTTAAACAAAAACACCTTGTTCCTCATCACAGTTTGAGATATAAAAGTGTATCTCAAAAATATAAGGTATAAAAGTAGATCAAAGGGCATGTATACTCATATGTTCAATTATATAATGAATAGTTTACTAAAGTGATTTGGCCACAGCATTACATTAAAATATCCATTTCTTTGCATTGTAAAGAATACTTAGTTTTGTTATACTCCTTAATTCTTTTCATTTAAATAGGTATTAGGTGGTATTTAACTCTAGTTTTACTATGTATTTCTCTGTTACCAATGAAGCTTTGTATCCCTGCCATTTCACCATTAAAAAAAATGAGCTCTATTTTTTGTATTAATTTATAAGAGACCAATATTTATCACATTTTTGAGTATTTACTAAGAGGCAAGAATTGTTCTAGGAAGTAGAGATACAGCTGTAAAGAAAACAGGCAAAATCCTTGCATTCATGGCACTTACATTACAGGGGAGACAGTAACAATAAGTGTAAGAACTATGTTTCATACTTTAAGTTCAATTTAGAAAACTCTCCAATCTTTTGCCAGTGATTTGCAGTACCAGATCTATCC